AAAAGATAAAAATTAGAAAGTTCAATTTGCAGAAATTAGTCACATCATGGCTCCTGTAAATAGTCGAAAAATTTTAATTATATTGTGGTGGTAATCATAGAAAAAGAAATAATTAAAAAGGAATTACAATTTGGGGATCAAGAAGATAATTTTGAATTCAAGCCCAATTAAGAGTCCTAGCAAAAAGACTAATGTCTAAAAGAAAGAATAAATAGACATGTACGATAAAAAAATTAAATAACAAGAAATCAAACGAACATACCAATAAACTGAATCGCAATTTGCTATTAGATGTCTTGGTGGCAATAATGATGCTTAGTAACCAAAGAAGACTTAAAAACGGTAATAAGTAAGCCTAATCAATTAAACCAATGCGATAAAAAATAAGTAACATAATATTATATTTTAAAGTGCCCATAATCAAAGACTTACTATTAGTACGTTAGTTAAGTAAAAACTTGCTTGAATTCCAGAAGTAATCGAAAAGCAAAATTTACGTAAACTGTGGTCAAATGTTGAACAAGTTTGTTAGGTTCATTTACATTCGAGGATTCATCCATTTTTACAAGTTAAAAAGTTAAATTTTGGAAATAAAATGGCAAGGCTGACTTGATAAGTTATATATTTATATAATATTAATATATACTAGTAAGAATCTTATATATTATTAAAGTAAGACTGTATTTTATGTATTATTTACTATCGAGAACAAGTTTTTCAGTTATTTATTCTATATTAGCCAACTAAATATTTAACTATAAAATAACTAATATTGCAGATCTTATACTATTTTTACTGTTACATAATAAAAAGTACTGTCTATATGTTGTCAGATTTATGGTTCCGAAATATTCTGAGTCGGTAAGATTCTGAAAAACCAATTCCGCGCGCGGGATTTTTAGATCACTAGCTAGCCGTTATATTCATTACATTGTGAAATCAGGTTACATGATATTATGCATTCACTTTATTTGTTAATTTCTAAAATTGTGCAAATTTATATACCTTGTTCACGTTTGGTTAGTTTTACCAGTTTCGTGCCTAGTGATTGAAATCATGTGATTATCCATCGGATACTAAATTCTTGGATATTGGATATCTCATCAACAAGTGAGTCTAACATTTATGACCCATTCAGACTGATTTAATTGATATGACTAAGTCACGAACTTTATTTTCAAAAAAATAAAATGATTAACTAACAAACCAAATTTTCTCATTCGACAAAAAGTTGAAAGTAAAATTGAAAATTGTAAAATCAACAAACAGTTACGTTATCAATTTCGGAATCTAAATCTATATCTAAACCACCACTTTTTAATTTGTCTAACTTTTTCATTATTTCAGGACTAAATTCATTACCATCAACTATCAGAGTGTCTAGAGTTGTGTTCACTTGAAGTGCATCTGCAAATTCTATTCCCACTTCATTTCCAAGGAGATTATATGAAATATCTAACGAAGTCAAAGCACTATTTTTACGAATCGCAGATGCTAATGCATTACCACCTTCAAACCCAATTTGATTCATGTAAATATTTAAAGTAGTTAACATATTGTTTTTGCAAAGAGCATTTGCCAGCTCTATTCCTACATCAGAGCCAAGCTGATTATATGAAAGATCCAAATAAGTTAAAGTATTGTTTTTGGTAAGAGAATTTGCTATTACTTTCTCTCCAGAACCAAGATTAGTATTTGTAAGATATAAAGAAGTTAAAGCGTTATTGTTGCAAAGAGTATCTGCTAGTGGTTTTCCAATATCAGATTCAAATTAATTATTAGAAAGGAGTAAAGTAGTTAATGTATTGTTTTTGCAGAGAGCATTTGCCAACGCGATTTCTCCTGAAACATCAAGGTTAGACCACGCAAAGTAAATTTTTCGTTTAACATTACATGGAATCTGAAAATTGGGTCGGTCGGTCGATTTTTTTTTTTTTTTTTTTTTTTTTTTAAATCTACTTTAAATTAATAGAACTATGTTCGTATTTAAGGTTATGCAAAGTTATTCTTTTTTTTTGCATAACAAGGAATTAGAAAATTGGGTTGGCTGTCGTTTTTTTGTGTCAGTCCTATCGGATAATTTCGAGATATCGGGTGTCTCCATCGAGTTATACCAGATAAAAATTGCAGAAAAAATAAATAGCAAAAATCGAATAATTAGCACAATTGAGATGTAAAAAAAAAAAAATTTTTTAGAAAAATTAAAAAAATGGGTCGGCGGGTAATGTTAAACGAAAAATTAATTTTGCGTGGCCTTATTGTATGAAAGATCCAATGAAGTTAAAGTGTAATTTTTAAGAAGAGCACCTGCTAATGCTTCCCTGTCCTCAACCCTAGTTGGTTAAGGTAAAGATCTAAAGTAGCTAACTTATTGTTTTTGCAGAGAGTATTAGCTAAAGCTTTTTTTACATCGGAGCCAAGCTGATTATTTGAAAGATTCAAATAAATTAAACTGTTGTTTTTGATAAGAGCATTTGCTATTTCTTCTCCTCCAAGAGAACCAAGGTTATTATTTGAAAGAATTAAATCTTCAATTTTATTTTTTCGCAAAAACAATGAAAGAAGAGAATGTTTAACAGCTGTTACGGGATAAAAACTTTTACCGAATTCTTCAAGAAAATGTAACACTCCTAGGCTCAAACACCGACCGTCAATAAATGTAATAAAATTTGTATATTTAAATAGTAGCATCGGAGAATTTGCTGGAAAGTTAATTTTAAATGGGATTAACTGCACTTTTTCATCGGCATTCAGTTCTAGAAAACATATTTCGATGACATGTCTATTTTTAAAACAGGGAGATCTCCATAATATTGGAACAATAAGTCTACACCATTTACGGTTTGCAAGGAGGCATTTAAATAAAATCATATTCTTTAGATATTTAAATATTTCTACAAGGGTTTCATCCGGTAAGTGTGTGATAAAACACATTTTTTGTAAAAAAAAAAATTAAAGTTAAAATTTTTTCGAGAATTTCACGTTTGGATTCTTTTCAACAAAATAAGTCTGGTTTTACCTAGTTTACGCGTATATAAAATTTTTTTTAAATATACAGTAATTTTGTTTAATATAATATAACGTGCCTATTACTATGCACAGTAAACTTGTATTTAACCGGTTTTCAATAGAACGGAAAATTATATTAATTTATTTTTTACACAATATATGAAGTTTAATGTATATTCACAATAAAGCTGATAACCAGTTACAGTTATTCTACTGTATATTATTCGTTATCACGTGTCACATAAATGATTTGGTTTATATGATAATCTCCGATTAAAAATTTGAACGAATTAAAATGTCTTCGGAGTTGGATGAACTCGAAAAAGCAAATAGAATGGTAAAAAATTGTAATACTTTTTTGTAAGGTTATTTGATATTTTTATCATATATATAATGATGTATCAACAAATATATCTTATGACCAATAATTATACTAAATATAATCTAGCAAAGAATATTTTATTTTTGCGAGGTGAAATCGAAAGATTAGATAATCAACAACTGGTGAATTTAATTTTGTGAGGTGAAATTGAAAGATTAGAAATTGAAAATCAACGATTGGAAAAAAATAAACATTGGTAACAGTTTACATTTCTATTTAAATATTATTAATTAAGAAACCCTTTTTAATCTTTAATAAAATAAATTTTGTAGTTATAAATTCGTGCTTCACATATTTGCGTTTGTTATCACAATATTTATTAGTCTTTTACTTGAGTTTTATATTTTAGATTTTTTACATTTGTTATTAGTATTGAATTTGTAGTTAATAATCTTGATTTGAAAAGTATTTTAATAAAAAATTGAAAAAATCGTAACATTCAATAATCTTGTTCATGTGAGGAAAGTATCCTAGCCACTGCTTTTCCCGCATTAGAAATTTTTCGAATAACAGCTACAATAGCTTTTAATTGTCTGTTTTTTTTTTATGTTTTTTCTAATGCATTTCTTTTATTTATATACTTATCAAGCCAACTAAGAAAATTTTATATTCTAAAATAAGTTGAAATTTATAAAATTCATTATTCATTAATATATACATATTATTAAGCTAAGTTATTCATGTTTATAATATTATTGATACAATCAACATTCTTCATTATCATTTAAAGATTTGTCTGCCTTTTCTAATATTTCATGATGTTCTTTTATCTCTTTTTCGATTTTTTCTTGATTTATTTTGTCAAAAGTTTCTTTAAGTTCTTTATAAACTTGTTTCAATTCTCTAATTACTTGTTTTCTTTCTTCGCCTACTATTCTTTGCTTGTCTAATATTCTAACTTCTTTTTCGAGAGATTCAATTTTTTTGTTAAGGTCTTCAATTTTTTTGTTAAGGTCTTTAATTTTTTTTTGTGATTCTTCATAATCGTGTTCCTTTTCTGTGAGTTTTTTGTTAAGGTTCACATTTT